TGAAGTCAAAGTTTTTGTATCCAGATTCTGCTCCTTCACATCTATGTTACCTGGGGCAAGCCATTATACCCCCTTGGACCTCAGGGTTTTTTTTTGTTTGTTTGTTTTTGTTTTATGTTTGTTTGCTATTGTTGTTTTGTTCCGTCTTCAAAGTGAAAGGATTGGATCTTTATGTATGCTCTTTTATGTACTGCTGTTACTCTCAACCTATGATCCTTTAAATCAAAGCCAACCTGTCTGCTAACAAATCTAGTTAGGATTTTCAATTTCTGTCTCTTCATTTTCTTAGAATACATCATGTTATAGCTGCATATTTCTCTAATTTCCCCCTTTAGAATATAATCTCCATGAGAATGAGGACTTTATTTTATTCTCTGTTATTCCCTTCAGTGTCTAATCAGATAGCTTGAAAGTAGGAGGAGCCATTGCTAAGTCTGGTTACATACATACTAGAAAGAAGTGGGTATGCAGAAACATTAGGAAATTGTAGAAAGAATGGTAGTCCTAGGTTCCAGTCTCATCACCGACTCTAGCCCGTGATCACATAGATCATGGGCAAGTCACTTCAACTCAGAGAACATTAATTTTGACATCTGTAAGATGAGTATAAAAGTACTTGCAATATCTACCCCAAGGGGTGGTTGTAATGAATGCATTTTGTACACTTTAAGGCACTGTAGAAATGTGTTATTATATGATTAGAAATCATGGCGTATCATGATCTTTCAAATTAAAGCAACAGGTCAATGAGAGGGCAATAGTGGGCTCATGGAGGCAGTAGCATATTACAAATGAAGATTGCCCACCTGAAGTGGCATAAAAGACCTCATCAAAGAGGTGATCAAGCTTTGGAAAAGCATATGGCCTGGAAGCAAACTCCAGGGACAACTGGCAGTGCACACAACATTTTAATCAATGTAATGCCGTGATCTGTAGAGAAAGGTTCACAGTGTTCTAGACAGACTTCAAATGGAGAATTTATGGGGAAGGAGACAAACTAAAGCCGCACAGGGTGAGATCAGATCTACATTGTTCAAGGAAGTATAACAATGGTGCTGATGGTTGTCATCATAATTGTCATTATGAAGCACTAGATCTGGTGAAAACACTGCCTGTGTTTCTTCCTTTGTAAAATGATGGGGTTAGATTAGATCATAGGATCATATGAAGCAGCATTACAGAGTAGAAAACAGCTCAGAGTAAGAGGATGTACGTTGAACTCTTCTGATGCCTATTATCTATACAGCTTGGACTAAGTCTCTTTACTGGATCTGTTTCCACATCTCTAAAGTGACCGGTTTGGGCTAGATAAGAGCTAAAGATGCTTTTGGCTATATATCCAGGATCTATGATATAAAGTCGCAAGAGGTCGTATATCCCCACCCCCACCCCCTCCATCTTGAAGAGGAGCAAATTGAGATATCAAAAAAGTAGATTGCATTGTCCAAGGTCTTACAAGGGAGGAAGAGTTTGGACCCAGGTTCCTTGACTCCAGATCCAGTGCTCTTTCCTTTGTACCTTGATGATCCCTGAGGACCCTCCTAGTTCTGCATGTGTGGCCCTGTTTCGAGGCAACAGAAGCACTCTGTGTTTTGTTCTTGTCCTGTGTTCACAGTCATACTGATGCTTCTCTTGAACTGAAGAGATCAGATTTGAATGCTGCTGAAATTGCTGAAGCTGAGGAATATATATTTAAGGCGTGTTCAAAACATCTATCTCCATCAATAACATTCATGTAAAATAACCCTTATGGGCCAGACTGAGGCTACTTCTTTTTGCAATTTCTATGACTTAGTTTCATGTGATTCTAAACCATCAGTAATTTCATTTTGGTAATGATTGAGATTACAGAGACAGTTGGGACTTGTTAAATTTACATATCAAGATAAAAGTACAGCATAACTAAAAAAAAAAACCAGAAACAAAACAAAGCAGAACAAAAAACCTCTCAATTTTCTCTTGCATTGGAGAAGAGCATTAATGAATCTCACCACAGATCTCAAAGCACTGATATTTGTTTTGAGAAAGCATTATGGATTTCATCCAGTAGCTTTACGTTACCATTATTTTTAAAGCCTGAGTTATTAAGAAAGTTGGGCAATCCCTGAGTAAACTAATTTGGTGACAAGGAGACAGTCACCTACAGAAGGTGGGAAAGGGAGTAGGAGGTAGTGAATGTACAATTTAGAACTTCCTCTGAGAATGAATTCCCACTATTTGAACATGTAACACATTTTACAGAATTGATTGGCTTTTGACTTCATCATAATAATAAAGAGCTATCATTTAAATAGGGCTTTTTGCAGGTTGAAATCTGGCCTCATACACTTACTATCTGTGTGACCCTGGGCAAGTTACTTAATCCTGTTTGCCTCAGTTTCTTGAAGCAGGTAAATAATAATTTATTCAAATTATTAGTGCACTTCACATAGTATCTGGCAATAATGAATGCTTATTGGCCAATTGTATTTAAGGAAAATCACTTGGCAGCTATGTGGTAGGTAGATCAGACTAGGGGAAGATTCTTGGGTGAAACTCTTTAGGGGATCATTGTAATAACCCTGGTGTGAGGTGCTGAAATAAAGAGATGCTGATATGAGTATTGATTCAGATTGCTAGGGTTGGATGCAAGTGTGGATACAAGAAGAGAAGCTGAGGAGGTTTAAAAAAAAAAGATGATATGAAGTTGCCAGGCATGAGAGGCTGTACAAATGGTAGTGCCCTGAACATAATTAAGGCACTTTAGTAGATGGTGGAATTAGGGAGAAAAAATAGTAAGTTTTGTTTGGTGCACATTGAGTTTGAATTATGTACAGGATATTAATTTGGAAATGCCTAATAAACATTTGGTGATGTGACAGTGAAGTGTTTATGCATTCATTCATTCAGTAAACATTTCGTAAGTGCCCACTATATGCCTGGCACTGTGCTAACTGCCAAGGATACAGAAAAGATGGCTCCTGCCCTCAGGGAACTCATGTTCTAATGGGGGAAACAACATGTATATGTGTATGTATGTATGGTGTGTGTGTGTGTGTGTGTGTGCATATGTATGTACATACCTATACACAGAGACCAAGCTATATGTGGGATTAATAGGAATTAATTAGAAAGGAGGAAACTACTGGAATTAAGAGGGGTTAGGGAAGGCTTCTTGTAAAGTGGGATATTAGTTGAGACTTAAAGAAAGCCAAGGATGTCATTAGTCAGAGTTGAGAAGGGAGAGCATTTCAGGCATGGGGGAGAAAATCCCTGCAGCTGAGAATAGAGTGTCTTATTGCGGAATAGCCAGAAGGCCAGCGTCACAGGATCAGAGTACATGTTGGGAAGTAAGATGGATGCCAGGTTATGAAGGGATTTGAATGCCAAACAAAAGCATTTTGTATTGCTGCTGGATTTTATAGAGTCAGAGGCTGGTGGGGTCAGGTTGGTGGTGACATGATCAGATCTGTGTTTTAGGAAAATCACTTTAATGATTGAATGGGAGGATGAAGTGGAGTGGGGAGAGGCTTGAGGCAGGCAGGCCCACCAGCAGGCTCTTGAAGTAAACAAGGCATGAGTTGATGAGGGCCTTCACTAATTGATGGGAGTGGCAGAGGAGAGAAAGGGGTATATTGAAGAGATGTTGCAAAGGTAAAATGAACAGGCTTTTGCAACAGTTTGGATATAGGGAATCAGTGAATATAAAAGGTTTAGATGTTACCACAAGGTTTTAGGAAGTTAGGAGAGGGAAAGACCAACACCTTCTGCATCAGTCCTGTGGCATCTGGCTTTTGTCAATATTATATTCTTGTTTTTTCTTCTGCTAACTTCCTAAAACCTTGTAGTGACATCTGAACCCCTTGTACTTATTCACCTCCAACCCTTGTGAGGGCTTTGAATTCCTGGATCTTGCCCTCAAGCATCAGTCTTCACAATGAATTGGTTTTAAGCAAGGTTTGCTTTGTATCATGGCAATAGTAGCCATTTTCCTACAAGCAAATTCCATTTTTGTTAATTTACTGTTTGATTTCCAGGGTGCATCTTTTTTATAGATTTAAAAATATTTTCTCTATTTGATTATAAATAATTAATACTTCTATTACAAATATGATGGAGGGGCAGTATTGCTTTTATCCAGAGTTTCATCAGCACAATGCTTATAAGCACTCTCAGAGTGAAATGTGAAAGCTATCCTAAGCTGGCTTTACAAACATGTTTCTATTTATTATACTCAAGTTACTGTTTTTTTGATCTTCCTTTTACTGTATTTGCTTCACTGTCTTAGAACCAAATGTATCTTCGGTTTGGAGTGGAGGTACAAATGAAATCAGACTTTATGGTCCATAGTAAACTTGGCACTCCTGTATACTAAATTTTAAAGAAGACTTTGTTGCCACACAAAATTCTTACATGCCTTCTGAGTCCTCAGACGGATCCTTTTATTTCTATACAGTGTTGGTGTTATCTGTTTTATTGTGTCATATTATTTGAAAATGTGGTATCTTTGTATAGTGTTTATGGAAACAAGCTATTAAATCAGAGTTTTTTTGTATTGGCTAACCCTTCTTTAACTTATGCCAAATGTAAAAACCTTAAAAGTGATTAAGAATGATTAAACCTCTGGTTTAAAGTTACTTTGGTGGTTCATGATGTTAATCTCTAAAAGATTATAGAATTATCAAATAAAACATTTTTTTAAAAAATCAACCACTTTAAAAAAAATTGTGATGTTTTCAGTGTTACTTGCTTGTATGAAAACCCATCCATTGATAGAGATTTTGCCAATAATATGCTTTAAAACTACTCTGTATTGTTTGGTTCCTTAGATATGTCCTTAAGGCAGAAGGTCTCAAAAATGGTGATGTTTTCTTCTTTAGTTTTCTAAAACCTAGTGAAAGTCACAAATTCACTTGCCACAAAGTTTTCCTATGGGATAGAAGCACTTCTTTTATTACCTAGAATCCAAGGTATGAAGGCAGTCTCTTTTCCTCTGCTCATTTTCATTTTACTTTTTACAGAACAAGATCATTTTAGACCCTATGACATTCAGCGAGGCTCGCTTCAGACCATCTCTAGAAGAAAGGCTGGAGAGCATTATCAGTGGTGCAGCGCTGATGGCAGATTCTTCTTGTACTCGTGACGACCGTCGGGAGAGAATCGTAGCCGAGTGTAATGCAGTCCGACAGGCCCTCCAAGATCTGCTCAGTGAATACATGAATAATGTAAGTCATCTATTTTGATATTTTTCTTCTTCGTGGATCTATTTATTTGGTAGCGTTCTTATGGAATTTCTTAAGGTATTCATATTTCATGTAAAACAAAACTAAACTAAACAGAAAAGCATAGGATACTCTACAAAAGCTGATGATACACTGTGTAATACAAACTATTAGAAAACAAGGAAGACATTTGGAGAGTTTGATATATTGATTGTGCTCCTAATGGTTTGGAAAGTAAAATCTTAGTAGAAGTTGGATTCGTTTGACTTAATGATCAATATCCTTGTGACTTTGTCAGTGAAATATGGAAAATTATAGTCTTGAAGTAGTTATCATAGGTGGTTGCTCTAAATACCTGGGTATACTAGGTCATTGTTACAAAAAAAACAACAAAACTTTTCAAAGTCAATGTTGTTTAGAATGGTCAGAGTTTTTCCATTTATCCTTGAAAGAATCAATATTTATTTTAATAATTAAAAAGGAATATAAGGTTTGAATGTTTGTGATCCTTTGTAGTTTATTATTCTGGTAGATGTCTGGCTGACATTGATCTCAGAAGGGCTTTTATATTGTGAAATTTGATGTGTGTATCTGAAATGATTTACATTTTCAGATTGATATTGGCTGAATCTAGTAGTTTTGTACTGCACACAATAGCTGTAAAATAAAGTAATTTAAAAATGGTTCTCACATATCTACAGAGAACACAATAAGGTTATAGGCTAAAGTGTTATAGTACAGGCATAATGAGATGGCTTTGAGAGGCACTGAATTGTATGTAGTTGGGTCCTCTGACTTGCTGTTATAGTGGTGGCTGGTTTAAGCTGATGGAACTCACTGCCTCAAATTGCTAGGTCTTCCAGGGTCCATGAGCTCTCCACTGTAGGTGGGGGGTCTAACTTCAATGAGCTAAGAAAGCAAATAGAAGGGGAAGATGAGGATCCCTTCCCTTCATGGTACAAGAGACTGGTAACTGAAATAGCAAGGCTCATGGTTAGCTCACATGTCTGAGAATAGTCTCCAGGGTTGCTCTGAGCTCTGCTCTCACAAATTTTCACTCTTAAGAGCTTGAGAACCTTTGTGCTACACAGACACTACCCTTATTGCCCAGCAAGTTTCTAATGCCACTATTGTTTCTCCTACTCCTAAGGTGAGGGGAGGAAAAATATGCAAAGTGATAGAATTAAGAAGGAGAAACAGAAGCATTCTTGCCAAGTCAACAAAAGTGTTCTTTGGTTGCAAGTCATAGGACATGAATTAATTTAAATAAGTTACCTTCCTGCATCAGAACATTGGTTCCCCCCTTGGAATTTCCTTCAGATATTGAACTTTTAGAAGGCATAGGTGCTTTATGCTGTTTTTGTGTCCAGTGTTCAGGGAATGGAATGACAATTTAGATTTTGGGAATAGTGGAGAATTCATCAGCACTGCTTTATTCCAAGCTATTTGGGAGAATTGTTTTCTCTGGTTTAGGTCTGCAAGGGCTCTTTGCAAACAGTTAAAGAGATTGATATGGGTGTCCACTCCTCTTTCTGATTCCACAGATTTCTCACAAAAGAACTGTTTATGATAATAGCAGCTTAATTTCAAAACTGTGTATACATCAAAGATGAGAACAGGTCTCCTCCTCTGGGAAACAGAATCTTTAATTCCAACTCTCTGGCAAGTCAACCATTTCTTGTCTTTGAGGGAATGAATAATCATCGCTGAAGAAGAAACTGAAATTTTCATTTACTTATTTGCCCTAAGGTGAAACATTTTAACACTTTTAGTTTAAGTTATGTGGGCATGCGTGTGTGTGTGTGTGTGTGTGTGTGTGTGTGTGTGTGTGTGTGTGTGTGTGTGTGTGTGAGAGAGAGAGAGAGAGAGAGAGAGAGAGAGAGAGAGGAAAGCTGAGAGTGTTTCTACCTTTTTTCTCCAAGTACTAGAGTAAAAGTAGGACTGCTTTTTGGGAATGTGGTTTCCAGATCAATATCTACAGGACGCGGTTTTCACATCGATATCTACAGAATGTAGTGGCATGAAAGTTTTGACTTAATGTATTAAGGACCTTATATCTTTGCAGAGATGAGGGGCTTTGGAATTCTCTCATCTCGTGAACTTCATTTTAATGTTCATAGCTATACAAGGGAAGATTGGATTGGTCCTTATTTTGGAATCATTACCTCACTTAATGCAGAGGAGGCTTTAATACGAAAGGGACCAAAGTGGACATGATCAAATTCTATTTACTGTACATATACAAATTCAATTCTTTGGAAAAGCAAAAAAAACAACTTTTTTTTGAGATTCAAATAAGTGGCATAAGATTTGAATTGCAGTCCACATTTTTCTAGTCTTTTCTAAGTACAATGTTGAGTAGTCACACCAATGTCATTAGTTTAAGGAGATAATAAGAATGTATTGGTGGTAAATGTAGATTACTGATTTGCAAATTATTCAATTGTGCTGATGTGGAACCAAGGCAGTTTGTTTCATGGTAAGTCTTGAAAATAAAGTATAAACACAAGTCCATCCAATAGCATTTTCTTCTTAATGTTCTAAGCATCCTTAGTGAGGGTTGTAGCCAACATCTAGGTCATCAAGCTGAGAAAATGTCTACATAAACACTGTCAGTTGCCACAGCACTGATGGGGATTCTCATTAATACACAGCCACCCTCACTTATTCTTTCAAAGGTGAGGAAATGGACAGAAGGGAAGTAATGGACAAGCATTTATTTCGTGTTGGAATGCATTCCATTTGTCTCCCTATTAAGTACACTTGGGCTTGGTATTGTGTGCTCTGTGAAGAGTGTAAGCCAATTGTGGATAAAATAGTAGCCATTCTTAAGTCAGATAGACATAATAGAGCTGATCGCTTGTGGTGTGTTTTTTTTTTCCTCCATATATACGTATGCTTAACGCAAATCACTGAACCAATGTGCAACTTGAAGAATTTTTTTAAGGAAATGAACTAGAAATAGGGCCTGAGAAAGGGAATAGAAACTGGCATGGGATGGCATTCTGAAGAAAGAAGCATATTAGGGACCTCTATTTCCAGGCTTTCTCCATTATTGGAGAATTATGATGGAGAGGATAAATAGAAAAGACATGAAAAAATAGTCCCATTTAAATTCACAAAATCAGTTTAAAGATTGTGCAAGTGAATCTATACTTAGCAATGGTTTCCCCATATTCCACAGAATATTGAGATTCAGTTTAAATGAGTTTTAAGATATATGTGGAATGGAAAGTACATTTAAAATGGTTTCCCCATATTCCATGGAATATTCAGATTGGAAACTGGTGAGCGGAATTTCCATCTTTGCTCAAGATGCCTCTCCATATGCATTCTTGATGTAGAGTAGAGGTTGGGCCTACATGGTATATTGAACGTAGGGGCAAGAGACATGTCCATCTCTCTTCTGTCTAACATTTACCACTTCATTCATATTTTGCTCATCTCACTTAGCACTCTATACCTCACTTAGCCTAACACCTAATGTGTTACCTAAATTAAGCCTGATTCAGGATGTAAGACAACTGGAACTCAAGCAGTCCAAATAGGCCAGAATCCTAAAAATGCAAAGTCTGAGCATTGTTTCCTAGAGAGCCTTTCAGACTATTGTCTCTACCTGTAGAACAGCACTGATGCCCAATGGATCGCCCACTTTTTTTCTTTTTTTTTTTTGTGAGGAGCTAGCTGTAAATGAAAGTTTCAGATTGATAATGGGTGATGACTATTTCTGCCATCTCTCAGAAATTGTTCAGTCCTTAGGTTGGCTTCTTCTTATAAAAGTATTTCATGTGTGAGCAGGGCATTTTCTTCCTTTTGGAATATACCATTAAATGTGATTTCTCCAGGAAATTGTCAGCCCCAGTCTAATGAATTGGAGGCATTCGTCCTCTGAGGAGAATCATTTATTTATGATCTTAGAGTAAGAATAAAGGGTGAGTGCGGAGTATTTTCTTTTTTTTTTCTTTTTGATTTTTAGGCAGTTGGGGTTAAGTGACTTGTACAGGGTCACACAGCTAGTAAATATCAAGTGTTTGGTCTGAGGCCGAATTGGAACTGAGGTCCTCCTGACTTCAAGGCCAGCGCTTTATCCACTGTGCCACCTAGCTGCCCCGTGGGGAGTATTTTCAAAAGGGAACTTGTGCCTTAAAATATTTTCTTCTTGAATTCATCTTCATCAATGGATATGCAAAAAAACTGACTATGGGTAAAGAATGCTGGATGCTATTAAGAGTTCCTTTCAAACTAAAGGCAGACTTCCCCTAATTTCAGAAGTTTGTATTCAAGTAGTTTTTAATGCACAGAGGGAATGGATGTTTAAAATGGATATGATTCTAAAAAAGTGAAAACAAATTAGCTCCGAATCTCACTATGTGACTTTTCACTGTGGAGGTAAATTTGGTATAATACGGATAATGTGAGTTGTTGCTATATAAGTGGATTCAATTATTGAGGTATCCAAAAGACCCTATTGTAAGGCAACTCCACAACAAGTAGTCACCTACCTAACCCCAACATCCCCATCCCAGGTCATGGCATAAAATAACAAAGTTACTGAGTAGTATAGGTCTGTATCAGAGATTCTTAAACTGGGCTTCCACAGACCACCTAACATTTCTGTGGATAGATTTTAGGGGATCCATGTAATTAGATGGGAAAAAAAGTTATATCTTTATTTTAATTAACCTGTAACTGGAACTCAGTATTCTCTTCAGTTATTAAAAACATGATTCTGAGAAGGGGTGGTCCACAGGCTTCATCAAATTTACTGTCAAAGGTGTCCAAGGCAAAAAAAAAAAAGGATAATCACTCCTTTTGTGTAAGGTTAAGTGCTGAGGTAGGAACTAGATGGGAAGGGTCAAGTGTAGATTTTACAAAGTGATTTTTTGGCAGGCATTAGGGAGGGAAATAGAAAGAAGAGGCATTTCATGTTTCTGAAAGGAAGGGGTGCTGGTAGAATTTCTTTGTGACAGTGATCACACTACTGAGTTTCCAACATATGAGAA